AGGGCTGGGGGAGTTGAGGAGTGTAGGGGTGGGGCAGACCTATGCCAGGGCTGATGGAGAGCCTGATGGAGGGTGACACTGACCCAGGGCTCTGAAGGAGGAGGCAGCGTTAACTGCGTGGGGACCGGGAGTGCTGTGGGCAGGGGCTTTGGGGGATGCAAAAGCTGCCCCCCCATGTTCTCTCTCTCTTGCTGTCCCCACTCACAGACGAAAACGAGTGTGCGCTGTCCCCTGCAGCCTGTGGCAGCGCCTCCTGCCACAACACGCTGGGCGGCTTCCACTGCGTCTGCCCTTCTGGCTTTGACTTTGACCAGGCCCTGGGGGGCTGCCAGGACGTAGACGAGTGTGCCGCCCGGGGAGGCCCCTGTAGCTACGGCTGTGCCAACACCCCTGGTGGCTTCCTGTGTGGCTGTCCCCAAGGCTACTTCCGGGCCGGGCAAGGGTGAGGGGCTGGAGTGGGGCAGGCACAGATGCCCCAACCCTGTGAGAACGCACACACGCACACACGTGCGTCCATGCACACATGCCATTTGCACACGTGTGCACAGAGACCTGGGCACCCACAGCACACGTGTGGGTGCACACACGAGCTCACACCCCATTTTGGTGTAATTGCCTGCATGGTGCCCTTGTATATTTGCACGTGCACAATGGTAGGTGCGCACTTCTCTGTAATACCCTTGAGCATCTGCACGACTCACGCCTGTGCCAACATGCCTGGGCACCCTTATGCATTCGTATATCTCAGTGTCCACATGTGTGCACATAATACTCACCAGCATCTGGGGTGCCTGCAGGTTCACATCTCTGCCCGGGTGAGCTAAGGGATGCGTGCACACATGCACACATCCTTTGTGCATGCGCACGCGAAGGCACAACCGCACATTTACACACCAGCACCCGTCCCCACGGGCAGTGTGGCTCTGAATGGAGAGTGAGGGCTGGAGGGGGTGCGGGGGAGATCCCACCAGCCTGCCCCTGAAGATCCACCACCCCCTTGTCCTGGCCCAGGCACTGTGTCTCTGGCCTGGGCTTCAGCCCTGGACCCCAGGAGGCCCCAGACGAGGAGGAGCTGCTCTCATCCGAAGCCTGCTATGAATGCAAGATCAATGGCCTCCCCCCTCGTGACCGGCCACGGCGCAGCGCCTACGGGGGCCACCAGGTGGGGAGAAGGAAGGCAGAAGTGAGATAGGAATGCTGGGTCTGAGGGGCTTTCAGTATTGGATTTAACTAAATATGAGTGTATTACTTTGTCCTATTTCCCCTTTTTTCTCCCTTTCCTATTGTTGCCATTGTTTTCTGTAAGCTTCTCAAAGGTAGGGCCCTGTGTCTGTAAGAGTGAGTGCAGTGGTTGTCGGGGCTCCTGGGCTGGGCGCCCATGGATCTGGGTGGAAGAGGGCTGTCCCCCCGCCCCGCACCCTCCCTGGCTTTGCCTGCAATACCCAAGACTGCCAGCAGGTGTCAGCAAGAGCACATGTGTGAGCAACACTGCCGGGTAGTGGGGGAGGGCTGAAGTCTCCAGACCGGAGGGGCAGGGAAACAGGACTAGCTTTCACATTAACACAACCACAAAGCACCCGTCAACATGTAAATGAGGTGGAACAAATAGCAGTGCCCAGAGCCAAGGAGAAGAAAACAGATCACCTCCTGTAGGACTGGCTACGTCACCCGGCCCCGGTTAGCCTGCCATTGAGGCCACTGGCTTATTCAGGGCCCTGTCCGGCTGCCAGGACCAGGAGCGCACTCAGAGCAGTTCATATAAAGAGGGGTTTGTCATTTGCACACAGGGTGCTCTCAAAGAGCCCAGATGCAGGAAGTGTCGCAAACCCCCCACCCCGGGAACCGGAAGGCTATTGGGCAGCTCCTCTCTGTGGCCCCTACCCACTGCATTCCCATTCTCCCCGCCTCTGACCGGCACCTGCCTGGTCTTTGTCCACAGGTGAGCCCGGCCAGCCTTGACTCGGAGGCCCCACTGACTTTGGGCCTGAACCTCTCACGCCTGGGCTGGGCTGAGCACATCCTGGAGCTGCGGCCAGCCCTGGAGAGCCTGCAGGGACGGGTCCGCTATGTCATTGCCCATGGCAACGGGCCAGGTTTCTTCCGCATGCATCATCTCCGGGGCCTCAGCTCCCTGCAGCTGGGGCGACGGAGGCCGGGGCCTGGAACGTACCAGCTGGAGGTGATGAGCGTGGCAGGGCCCTGGGGCACCTGGCCGGAGGGGCAGCTGACACCAGGGGGCGGGGCCTTGCGGCTGAAGGTGCTCCTGCAGCTGCTGTAGCTGGAAGGAGCCCGCACCGCCTGCCTGACCTCAGGCCCCTCCCGCGGCCCCCTCTCTGGACTCCCTGCATGGGCACTGCCCCATCCTTGCCTCTTCCGGCGGGATTTGGGGGAAACTGATGTCACTCAGCTCACCGCACACCACAGAGAGACCCTGGTGACCCTGGTGAAGCCTTGGCCTCGGGTGCGCCCCAGGGCCCCCCATTCATTCTCTTCTCCAGAACTGCCGATTCTGGAGTTGGGGGGCTACCGATCCCACCAGCAATGGGATCACTGACCAGGTGGAACCCCAAAACTCAGGAAGAGTAAAATGCGATTCTGCGACCTCAGGCGAACCCAGCCTCTGCCCAGGGGGACAGATTTGGACAATTGGGTATTGCAGGCAAAGCCGGGGAGGGTGCGGGGCGGGGGGACAGCCCTCTTCCACCCAGATCCATGGGCGCCCAGCCTAGGAGCCCCGACAACCACTGCACTCACTCTTACAGACACAGGGCCCTACCTTTGAGAAGCTTACAGAAAACAATGGCAACAATAGGAAAGGGGGGAAAAAGGGGGAATAGGACAAAGTAATACACTCATATTTAGTTAAATCCAATACTGAAAGCCCCTCAGACCCAGCATTCCTATCTCACTTCTGCCTGCCTTTTCCCGAACAATGGACCCCAACATTCCGTCTTGCCTGGAGACAGCTGGAAGCCATGGCATGCACCCTCCTCCTCCACCAACCAGGGTCCAGGAGGGGCCTGTGATTCACTGTAGCTGGTCAGTCTCAGGCTTACACTGCTGCACTGCCCCGTGGCTCACCCCTGGGGCGCAGTGGGACATGGGAATGGACGGCTGGGGTAGGCCTGGGCCTTGACCCTCTAAGCCAAAGAGCCTCTGGGGCCCCAGCCAGAGTTGGGTGATGCACAGCCATGCTCGAGCCCCCGGTGGGGTGGGCTAGGGTTCCAGCCTGCTTTTATATCAGAAGCAGAGACAACAATAAAGTTATTTTGGGTTAAGTCTGCGTCTTTGGCATGTTCTGGAAGTCAGGAGGTGCTGCCCTCAGCAGGGCCAGGCCAGGCTCACAGGTCAGGGGGCAGGAGGCCCCGGAGGGTAGGATGGACTTCAGCCTGGGGCTCGGAGGAGAAACCATGCGGGTGAGACACAGGTGAAGGCCACCTTCCACTTGGAGGTGGGGACACGGTGCCAGGGTACAGGCAGGTTCTGTGAACTTCAGACCCGTGAGTGGCACAAGGCCAGGCTAATGGTGGCCACCACTGGAAGCCCTTGTGGGTTCACGGATCCCGATGACAACGGCTCATGCTTCCTGACCACGTGTGATGTGCCAGGCGCCGTTCCAAGTATTTTCCCATTGTCGACCCATTGACTAGTCCTTGCAACCGCCTGGAATAGAGGCTGTTGTGCTCATCCCCATTTCACAGATTGGAAAACAGGCTTACAGAGGTGAAGGTGACTCCAGGTGGCAGGTAGCAGAGCCAGCGTCCGTGCCGGGAGATCATGGCTGTGCAGTCAGCGTGTGTGGATGCTTGCCTGTCAGACAGTAGCACGTTTATTTTTTTTTTAAGTTTGCTTACTTATTTTTTTAGTAATCGCTACGTCTAATGTGGGGCTGGAGCTCCCCACCCCGAGGTCCAGAGTCACACGCTCTACTGACTGAGCCAGCCAGGTATCCCAGAGAGTAGAGCATTTAGTCCCCGCTGACTTGTCTGAGAAAATCAGCGATATCACCCATTTTACGGGGGGCAGAACCAAGGCTTAGAGAGTTTGTAGAATCTGCCCGAATCACCTCCATAGCTTAGCGGGGCCTGGGTGTGACCCACCAGCCCCCAAACCGCCTCTTGTCTTCTAGAGAGGGAGCATTTGGTTTTTATCTGGAATGTTCTCTCTCGTGGTGGAAACAGACTGCCTGGGGAGAGGACAGTTGGATGGCTTGAGTCTGGCTGAGTGACCTGAATGTGGCCCTGCCTCTCCCTGCAGGATGGTCACTGGTGCCTGGTCCCAGGGCTCTGTTCCTGGCCTGGTTCTGGTTCCCCTGACCTAACCGGAGCTTCTCTGGACCCCTGTCAGAGCTTGCAGAGGGCTCCTCCGCATTCGCCGGCCTCACTACAGCCCAAGGAGCTGAGCAGAACAAGCACAGTGAGCCCTGTTTTAGAGGCAAGGAAAGAGGCGCCAAGAGAGCAAGCAGTTTGCTCAAGGTCACCAGCTGGACTCGAACCAGGGCCTGCAGCCAGCATGCCCCCTGGGAGCCATCAGCTGTGAGGACTGCCAGCACAGATCTGGGGGTGGGGGGGTGGGAGAGTCACGTGGGATTCAACACAGGCGGGGGCAGCAACTCACACCCCATAATGAAACGTGACAGACAGGAATGGCATCCCACCAAAGGTTTATTTAAAAAACTATAGAAAAGCAGCCTGGGAGAAGTGTCCTGGGATGGACTGGTGCTTTGCAAGGACCCAGAGGGACCCAGCAGGAGTGGCCCAGGGTGGGTGGCAAGAGGCTGCAGGCGGGCGATGTATTCCGGTGATCCTCTACAAGACCCATAGCTTGGCGCAGACTCTGGCTCCTGGAGCAGGCAAGAGGGCTTGAAGTAAGGTCAGCTCTCTCCCTCCAGCTGCCTGAGGAGCGGGATGGGGCAGGGGTGATGGGAGGGAGCCAACCGCAGGCTCAGGCACAGGCACTGAATTTGGCCCGAATGACAGGGAGGCTGGGGCACCTGGAGCCGCAGGGGACCGTTGCAGTGGAGAAAGGTCCAGCCCATCTTGTGCTGGGCTAATCCTGGAGATGTGTCAGCTCACGGTCCTGCAGGGGGGATTGGAGAGGCCGGCAGGTGACGGGAACTGGAGTGGAGCTGGGCGCCCTGCCGCTCTTGGTCCGCACACCTGACATTTCACTGCAGCACTTGCTGAAGCCCCTAGGCTGGGTTAGGGTAGTAAACAGCCACCTGAGTGTCAGCCCGCAGGGCTGACCACAGAATCAGCCTCCTTGGTCCTGGAAGGGAGTCCCCTCACCCAGTTTGTGCTGATCATGAGCCCTCATCCCTCAGCAGTGGTGATGGGTAGGGGATGGTCACATGATCAGAGTCCTTACCTGGATTAGCTTTTGTCAGGAGGGTAGTTTTCCTGTTGTTACTTCTGGTGAGCCTGCTAACCTTGGACAGTGGTAGCTTGGAGATTCCAGTGTTCGACTTCCTACCTCCAAAGAGGATGACTGTACAAGAGAGAAAGAAATAGATAAGAACTCCACCAGTACCCTCTGAGCACCTGGATCCAGCCAAGCCTGAAGCTGTTGGCTAGTTACTTGAGCCGACGAGTTTCCCATTTGCTTGAGTTTGCCATTTCTAGCAATGGAAAAAGTCTTGGCTAAAAGAGTTGTTCATCCACTCAGTCTCCACTCACCAGCAATCGGCGGGCCCTCTTTGGGGCGGCGGCCGCTGTCAGCATGCTGGACTTCGGTCCCCTCCTTTGGGGGTTGAGGAGCCCAGGGGCCCACAGCAGGGAGGCGGAGGCTGCCCGGAGGCTGGGTGTGGGTCTCACCCACCTTGCAGGTGTCTCCAGTGGCGCTTTGAGAGGGTCTTGTTCCCAGCATCCAGGAAGTCTACCATCTTTGGCACCCAGCTGTCCCGTGGGTTCGCACACAGGATCTTGTTTCTCCGGAAGAAGAATCTGGGGGGTGGGGTGGGGGAGCGGGTCCCTAGGTTAGGGTGTGAGCGGGGAGCAAAGCTGTGTAGGAGACTCCCCCCGCCCCCACCAGCCTCCCACAGTCCCACTCACATCACAGCAGGCAGGTTGCAGCTGCCGCTCACTTCTTGGCGCCGGTAACCCCGGGCGTGCCGGAGGAAGCCGGGCTGAACACGGGAGTGGTAGGCCAGGCAGCAGTCCTCAGAGACACCTGCAAGTACGGCCGGAGCTCGCATCTCTGTGTGCACATGCGCTCTGCACGGGCTGCCCCAGACGCAGGCACCCCAAAACAGACCACAACCTCCCAGCCCAGGTGATAAGGAGGCCAACGCGGCTCACCTTTGGCCCCTGATATGGGGACGGCTGGCAGGAGTTGGAGGGGGTCCACAGTCCCGGGCTGGGAAGGGCCCAAGACCACACAATGAATGAGGGACCAAAGCCACTTCTACTGCTCTGGGGCGGAGGGCAAGGGGCGCAGATGGAGCACCCCGAGGAGGCACCGGGGGCCACCACGCCCGGCCCAGGCCCTCCTAAAATGAACGGTCTGGCCGGCCACTCCTGACGCCCCAACTCCTGCTCCAGCCTGGCCCTCCCCCACCTAGGGCCATCTCAAGGGCCTCTGCCCTTCTGTCCCCAGCAGAGTGACCACTCAGTCAGTGGGCCAGAAACCAGGAGGTCTCTGTTCGTTTACTGATTGGTTGAAAAAAGCATTTTGAGTTCCTACTAGGTGCCAGATGTGTAGACAAACACAGAGGGGAATTGGGCATGAGGCTCTCTCAGCCTGGTGGGGAGACCCAGAGGTCCGTCTGTGCTGGGAGGGGGGAAGAGCAGGGACCTGGAGCTGGGTGGGCTTGGAAGAAGAGGTGTGCCAGCAGGGCCTGGGAGCATGAGCAGGTGGAATTGATGAGACAGTGAGAGGCCTTCAAGGCCCTCTGGGATCCATCCCTCAGCTGACCCCTGCCTCCAGGCACCACACCTGAGTTCTGGCCAAGTGCAGTAGGAAGGATGGGGGAGGAATTTAGTGCTCCCCCGCATCTCCAAACCTTGGTCCCAGAGGGCAAGGGGCAGGGGTGCTGGATGGACCCTCCGTTGCAGTACCAGGCAGGCCGGGGGCCGCTCTGCCCCCAGGATCAAAGGGCCCCAAGCTGGGCCTGGCTCGTGGAATGGGCCTCTGATAGCAGGACAATGGGAATGAAGCCCAGCCCCATCCCGGGCAAAGGTAAGGTCTGCTGGAAGCTAGGGCCTTTCAGACCTAGTGACAGGCAGGTGGGGCAGGTAGGGGAGGTGGGGGGGAAGGGTCTCTGGGGCTTTGACCAAGCCAGGGACCCTGTTCAGCCAGCTGCTGGGGCTCAGCCACCTCCCCTGGAGCCCTGTCCTATATCCTGGGGTTGCAAGACATAGTGGCCGGGCTCTTGGTGGACACTGTATGCACCAAATCCTCAGCTGCCTAATAGAGGGAGAAGTGGGAAGGGACTCCCCATTAATAACAGTAATGGTTATCATTGTTGTTGCCCAGGCACTGGGCCAAGAGTTTTGCAAATATCAGCCCACTGGATTCTCATGTCCTATCTCAGCAGCGGGAATTCAGAGCCCCACTTTGCAGACGAGGAAACTGAGGCTCATGAAGACTGAGTAGTAACTCTCAGCCAGACCACACAGGCAGCCTGTGGGTGGGGGGACGACTCACTCCTGTTGGGTCACATCACTGCAGTGTGTCCCTAGCTCTGCCACCACTGGGAGCCACCCTCGCCCCCCACAGTCCCTGGGCTGGCTAGAGTCCTGGCAGGGAGGCCTTGGGTCTCGGACCGTGGAGGAGGCATCACAGGGGCTCTGGAAGGAGGGGCTGTGGGGCCTGTACCCCCAGGGAGCTGCACCAATGCCAGGAGTTTCTACAGCCCTGGGGCGGGAGCTGTCTGTCAGAATTCGGTGGTGGAGATTGAACGGGGGAGGCTTCTGGAAGAGCGGAGGGGCGAACAGGGGAGGGCAGGAAGGATGGGGTGGGGAGGAGGGCTCCTGGGAGGCAGGGTAGGTACGGCCCAAGACATTACCTTGAGCATGGATAGTAGACCAGGCGCCCACCAAGCTGGCCACCAGGCAGAGCACGAGCCACGGGTTCATAGTGCAGGCTGCTCTTCCTCCTCAGGTGTCTTGAGGAATAATGGGAGAGGTGGGGGTGATGAGGCCCCAAAATGGACAGCAGCGGGCACTGGGAACACCCCCATCTCAAGTCCGACACCCAGGGCCCTCTGCACAGGACAGGTGGTGCTGGCGCGGCCTGTGGCTGGTCTCAGCCAGGATCGGGGGACGGGGCAGGTGGGGCGCGGAGAGGGGCAGGACTCACCAATGCCTGCCGGGTCCCGGGAGCCAGTACCTGCTGGGGTGTCTCCACGCTCTCCTGCCCGGCAGGCCAGCAGGCCTCACAGCCTTTATAGATGGAGCCCCACCCTGCGGCCACCTGCTCTCCTCCCCCCTCCCCCCTCCTTTCCCACTTCGCCTCTGCCTTGCGCTTCTCCCAGTTTCTCTTTCTAGCTCCTCTCTCCCATGTCAAGGTGCACCTGGAGGGCATTAGTGGTAGGCGCCCCGGACAAGAGGACCTACTTCAAAGAGCTGGCAGAAAACAGTGACTTTCTCAACTACGAGGATGTGAGCCAGACAAGGGTTGGCTCCCTTGGTGACTGGAGGCAGAACCACACAGATGGACAGACGCAGCCTGCCCAGGCCACTTGAAGGCTGGCTGCCTGGGGACCCCTCCCTTGACTGCTTCCCCGATCCAGTCCTCTCCGTCAGCACCCCTGCTTTCTCCCCCAAAGGACCCTCTCTCCTCCCCGCATTCCCTCCCCTGCGGGCCTCAGGCGGCCTGGAGCCTCTGCCTTGCTCCCTGCTCCGAAGCCACCTGTCTCTGTGGGGCCCTGACTTCACCCCATTTTTCTCTCCTTCCCCACAATGGGGAGCCTTACAGTTCTGCAGAAATGCCCTGGTTTTGAGAACAGGCAAATCCACAGGAGCAGAAAATAAAATCAGTCATTGCCGTGGGCTGGGAGGGGAGAATGGGGGGTTTGTAACTCTGTGAATATAGTAAACCCATGAAACTTACACTTTCTTTTTTTTAAAAAGATTTTATTTTTTTTAAACATTTATTTGAGAGAGAGAGCTTGTGCACATAGCGGGGAGAGGGGCAGAGGGAGAGGGAGAGAGAGAATCCTCAAGCCGACGACCCCCTGAACCCAGAGCCCCAAGTGGGGTTGATTCCAAGACCCTGAGATCATGACCTGAGCCGAAATCAAGAGTCAGACACTTAACTGACTGAGCCAGCCGGGCGCCCCTGAAGACTTTGTTTTTAAGTAATCACTACACCTGGCATGGAGCTTGAATCCGTAACCCTGAGATCAAGAGTCGCAGGCCTCACCGGCTGAGCCAGCCAGGCACCCCTGGAACCTTACCCTTCCAGTGGGTGCAATGCAAGATATGTGAATTTTCTCAAATATTAGCTGGGGAAAATATTATTAACAACCACCAGAACAAAGAAATGCTCTAGTTTTGTAAGAAATGCCCGTATTACCTGGAGATACCCCAGGTAACCACGGCGGCACGAAGCAAAGCAAAACCCATCCAGAAGGCATTTTTTTCTTTCCCTGGGTCAGCGTGGCTCACCGGGTCAGAGGCGCCACGGTGGGAGTGGGCGGTTGTAGCCGGAAGGGGCCCCTGCCCAGACCTCACAGCTGATTGCTTTTAACTTTTAACTTCTTATCGCCCGCAGCCTTAGCTATAGACCACCCCAGGTAGTAATCACCCTCGCACCCCTTTCTCATCTCCCCGCTTCAAGAGGAGCCCCTGGTGGGGACCTCGATCCCCAGGGAGGAATCTTGTGGCTTTGGGGGCGGGGCTTTGGCGCGGGGCGGGGCCTAGCCCGGGGCGGAGCCTACGAGCCCTGCCCCGCCCCGCTCCGGCGGCTGAGCCGCCCTGGGGCCCCGCGCCTAGCCGTCCCCGGGCAGTGGCTGTGACCGTCCCCCGGGGCCCGCGCGCGCGACTGCAGTTCCTTGGCCGCTTGCTGCGGGTGGGGGAGGGGGCCGGGACGCGGCTCCGCGTGGCTGGGGGCGTGGGGACGCAGCGTGGCGGGCCCGGCCAGCCTCTCCGCTCTGGTCCGCTGCCCCTGCCTGTCCCAACGCCGGCAGCCGCCAAGACGTGGCGTGACCCAGACTTGGCTGAGGTCCCCCGCGAGCGAGCCCACCTCCCCTCCCTGCCCCTCACGGTTTGTCCCACCCGCAGCCTTAAGGGGGAGGAGGGTGTCTGAGGCGCCTGGGCTCAGGGCAGACAGGGATTTGCGCCATCTTGGGCCCCGCACAGGTGTCAGGGAGGCAGACGGGATGCTCAGACCCTGAATGAAAACCCCGGAGTTCTGAGGACCCGAGCTGCTGAGTGTGAGGGCCAGATGCTCAGGGCCAGGGCTGAGCTGGGAAAGGGGCGGCCTCTTCTGTTCCTACAGCTGCTGGAGGCGGTAAGGGTGGACTGCTTGCAGTAGGAGACCCTCTTCTGCATGTGTGAAATGAGCGCAGCTGGGGGGGTGGGTGGTGGTGGACAGAAGCCTTTTCCTGCCTCTGGTCACCAGCCCTGACGATGGGGGCCGTTGGGGGGTGGTCTCCAGCCTGAAGCCGAGCCAAGCTGAGGGACTGACCACATCCCAGGGCCTGCAGGTTGGAAGGGCCAGCAAAGACCTTCCTTCCATGAGCCCAGCTCAGCTCCTGGAGGGAACCGCTAGGGAGTGCACACAGATGGTCCACTGCAGAATGGGGTGGGGGAGGATGGGCTCTGTGATGGGGAACCCTCCCTTTGGAGTGAGTTCCTCTTGGGGCCGGCTCACTCTCATTTCTCTGCTGGAGAACAGTCCCAGGTGTTCAGTGTTGGCCCACTTTACAGAGGAGGAGACCGAGGGTCAGGGAGGCTCTGAAAGTCATCAGAAAGGCACAGGGGCCCTGGGGAAGTACCACCAGCTGAAGTGGGGGTCCTCCTGCAGTTGCTGCAGCATATTAGATCTCTCCCTCCCTGTGCTGCCTACAGCTCTCCTGAACCTCTGGTGCCTCCAGGTCCCTGCTCAGGTGGCCTCGGAAAGCAGCAGCTAGAGGCCCTCCCCCCACGCGACCTTGTGCATGTCAGGAGGCGCATACCAACCCGTCTGCTGGGCCTGGACTCCTGTTGTGCCTAGCTGCCTCCTGCTCTGGCCCAGATGTACAGTGGTTACCAGGCAACTGGAGAAAGGGAGGAAAGGGGGTTTTTCCAGGATGCCTTGCAAGCCTCTGGCCTGACTTTCAAGGACTTAATTTATAGACTGTCCCTGTGTGACCCCTTTCACTGTGTTCCTGATATGGTTGACCTTGCTGCCTCCTGGAAAGCTGGCTTTGAGGGGCTTCCCTCCCCAGGCTGACCAGTGGTCTCTGTGTTCCATGGGGTAGCCGCACTGACTGTCTGGGTGGGCACCAGGCCACCCAGAGGGACTTGGGCCACTGGCACTGGTTGAATGCAGCCTTGGCCTCAGTCCTGGTGCTTCCGCTGCTCTCACAGGACGTGTGTGGGACAGGCCAGCTGGACTGCCCCAGCTAGGAAGGGGGCTTACTGCAGGGCCTTCCAGGCTGGGGCTGAGGCAGGGGTGGTGTGGGGAGGAAGGGCGGTGGGCTCTGAGGAGAGAGGCCCATGGGGCCCTCTACGAGACCCTCTGAAGCTGCTGAGCTCCATTCACCCCTTCCACACAGGTTTTCTGGGTGCCTCTTCCATACCAGCTTTTTGCTAGGCCCCGGGGTGATGGCAGTGAATAAGCAGATGTGTCCCCGCCATGAAAGATGACAGTGGTGTCACCGAGCCTCACTGAACATCTCTTGGGGACCATTTGTTATCTTGTTCATTCAGCAAACAGTTAGCAAGGGCCTACTGTATGCCAGGCACTGGGCTGGGTGCCAGGGGAAAGCAGTGAAGGAGACACATGGTCCCAGGGTAGAGCAGACAAGACAAGCAGCAAATATGAAGCAAGATACTTCGAGATTAGGATCATGGCTACAAATCCTGGTGTGACAGGAAGACGCTGGGGACGGGCTGGGCTCCTCCAAAGAGAGTGGCCCGAGATGATAACCACCCTGTAGGATTAATATTCATCCCCATTTTACAGGGAAAACGCAATCAACTAAAGCTTGGAAAGGTTAAGTTGTCTGCCCAAGTAAGCGAAGCCGGATTCCAAGCTCAGCTCTGACCCCTTCATTCCACGTGTACTGATTGGGGGCTGTATTAATAAGCATGTCTTGCGGCACCTGGGTGGCTCAGTTGGTTAAGCGTCTGCCTTCAGCTTAGGTCATGATCCCTGGGTCCTGGGATCGAGTTCCGAATCGGGCTCCCTGCTCACCTGGGAGCCCGCTTTTCCCTCTCCCTCTGCCACACCCTGCCCTGCTTGTGCTCTCTAATAAATAAATAAAATCTTTTTTTAAAAGATTTTATTTATTTGACAGAGAGAGACACAGTGAGAGAGGGAACACAAGCAGGGGGAGTGGGAGAGGGAGAAGCAGGCTTCCCGTGGAGCAGGGAGCCCGATGCAGGGCTCGATCCCAGGACCCCGAGATCATGACCTGAGCTGAAGGCAGACGTGTGACGACTGAGCCACCCAGGCACCCCAAATCTTTTTTTTTAAGAAAAGCATGTCTTTAAAAAAATTTTAATACTGTATTTTATTTAACCCTATCTATAAAAATATTATCATTTCCACATGTAATCAAATAAGAACGACTAATGAGACATCCCCCCCTTTTTTTGGCATAGTAAATCTTGATTGTACATTTGCAGCACGTTTCAAGTGCCAAATAGCCACATGTGGTGGTGGCTAGTGGCTACCTCAGTGGGCAGGGCAACTCTAGCCACAGATAATTGTCAGTTCATAATTTCATACTGATTCATTTTTATTTTTGTTCTTTATTAAGACTTTTTTTAAAAGAGTAGTTTAATTTTCGCAGTGATACCGAGGGGAAGTCACAGAGATTTCCCACATACCCTTTGCCCTACACATGGATAGTCTCCTTCGTTATCAACAACCTGCCCCGGAGCCCTGGACGGCACATTGCTATCATCCAAAGTCCATAGTTTATATCAGGGTCCACTCCTGGTGCTGTACGTTCT